TTTGTGGGAAAAAAACTAATTTAAAGCAGTTTAACATATAAGGCAGGAACAAAACAAAATGTGAAAAAAATGAAGGGGTATGAATACATTCGCAAGGCACTGTAGATATAAGATGAGAAACCCTGTTTTTCTTTAAAAAAAATTAATTATTTTCATTTTTATCCTAAATTCACTTTATTTTGATAAATTTCTCAGAAAACAAGATTTCACATTTTTCCGTTTATTTTATTTATTTTTATTTAAGATAAACTCTGTTCAGTTGCTCAGAAAACAAGTCTTCATGTGTTAATTTTGCATCCCCAGTAAATGTGTCCTGATTTAAGGATGTTGAAATATTTGTGCTGGAAAACAAAACAAAAATACTGAGGAAGAAACTCTGTATTGTAGGGCTGCACGATTAATTGAATGTGATTCTGGTTCTGTCGGTTCTGTGATTAGTAGTAAATCTTCAGCACCTGCTTTCAGAAGGAGCAGCATTTACTCCACAGAGCCGTAGCTCACTGACAAGCTACGCAAAAAAAAAAATCGCAGATGTTATAATCGCTCGATTATGAAATCGATAATGAAAGCTGTTTGCGTAGCTTCTCCGTGAACTACGGCTCTGTGTAGTAAATGCTGCTCCTTCTGTGAAAATACCACATTTAATAACATGTTTTTACTCCAAACTCACTTCATAACGTCAGTCGAGTGTTTGAAATAAATCCTTCTGTGAGATGATGAGGCTTCTTACACAGAATAAGGCACGCAACATATTTCATAGCATTCTAAGCAGTGATAAAGTCATTGCATTACTATATACTTTATTATAATGAAAATGATAATAATAGGAACTCCGATAAACCATATATTGTCGTGACTGTCGTGTGTTTATTAGTCACGTTTAATCAATGAAAGCAGTTAAATCTTGTTTATTCAGCGACCGCTATTATCTGGGTTTCTTCTGAGTTTCTCTGGCCTTCGGATGGAGAGCACCGTCCAGAGCGTCAGATTCAATTCAAGTTTATTTGATCAGATATAGCTGAAGTACAAAGTTACGAGATACATTATGCGAATGCTTGGCTAAAGAGATGTGTCTTTAATCTAGATTTAAACAGAGAGAGTGTGTTTGAACCCCGAACGTTATCAGTTTCGTACAGAGCGTCCAGCATAAACATCTCTCTGTGTGTGTGTGTGTGTGTGTGTTCAGCTGCTCCAGTGGTGACCGATAGCTACCTGTCCAGGTGTCCCAGCGGCGCTCTGTGCTCCAGACTCCCAGCCGACTGCATCATCTGCGCATTTCATCACAACTGCAGCTACGGCCGGCCGGCCAACTTCACCTGCAGAGCTAAAGCAGGCGTTCACTGTGTGGTGAGACTCTCAGAAAACCACAGTGTGTCCAGTTTGACTTGTTAATTCCTAGGGCTGGGACAATAAATCGATGCATCGCGTTTCGTGGATCGATTCTGAGATTTTCGGAATGCATCGTGATTCTCTCTCGAATCGATTCTGAGCTTAGTTTTTAACAGCAGATGGCGCTCTAGGTTAGTTTTTAACAGCAGATGGCGCTCTAGGTTAGTTTCTAACAGCAGATGGCGCTCTAGGCTAGTTTTTAACAGCAGATGGCGCTCTAGGTTAGTTGATGGCGCTCTAGGTTAGTTTCTAACAGATGGCGCTCTAGGCTAGTTTCTAACAGCAGATGGCACTGTAGGCTAGTTTTTAACAGCGTTTTAACAGCAGATGGCGCTCTAGGCTAGTTTCTAACAGCAGATG